CTCTCTAATGAGTTCTACAGCACTTTGAAATGAAACTTGTTTTCGATTTGCATGTGTATTGTAATGCCGCTGAGGCTTCTGCTGGGTTTCCCTGCATTTTTCCAAGATGAGCAAGATCTGACCTTCTACCATAAGAAGGTGCAAAGAAAGAACTCTTTGATTAAAAACAGAATAATTCAGCAGAAGACTCGACTTTTTTACAAATCGCATCCCTTGAAGACAGAAATTGAAACTTTTTGCTGCTTGCTCCAAGAATAGGGAGCCAGAGGAAGTTAGTGCACAATCTGGTGTAACACATTCTAGCATTACAGCTGCTTGGGCTGCATGCTTTTGAGTAATAGATGAAATCGTTCTTGCAGGAGTAAAGTGACAGCTCCCTGGCTTCTATGCCAAAATCTGATCTTTTTATTTTTTTTAAAAAAAGGTCTAAATATTGTACTGAGTACATGAGTTGCTGAAAAGATATGTCTTTCAGAGAAGGTAAATGATGAAAGAAGCCAATTAAAATCTCTCTGCTTGTTATTTCTTTATACTGTCAAGTAATGGATACTGGGAGGAGGTATGTTGAATAAAATAAGATAAACTGAATTTTAAAAAAGTAGTCAAAGACCAGACAGTTTTCGCCATTAACAATTATGTAGATTCTCTTCACTGTGGTTCCTGCCCCTTTTTATGTCTAACTGTGCTGAGTGTATATTAAAAGTATTTAGTAGGATCCTTTCTGCCTGCATCACTGAACCTGTAATACAAATAATGAAATTAGTAGAAAAGCTAGAGCCGCTTCTTGTTTGCCTGAAACTTGGGGTAGGACTTGTTTCACTTCCCCCATGCTCCCTGCCTGGAGAGGATCATTTAATTGTCCTAACCCTTTCTCCACCCACCAAAAACAGTCATTTATGTAAAGTGGGACAGTTTCCTATGGGATCTCCTGTGGGAATTTGAAGAGAGTCTCACTGAATATTTTACTGTCTGCTTAGTGTTGCTGACAGAATAACTATCTCTTCTTTGAGGGCTAGAAAAATAGAACTTCACTGTTAGGCGTTTTGCCTAAAGACGTTTGTTTAAATACAAAGCTGGCTAAACAGCTATGTATATAATGCTCGCGTTTTCTTTATAGGCTTCTCACAAGCTGCGTGCAGGTTGGTATTTTAGTCCAAAGATTACAGAAAAGACAGCAGCAGTGAAGGAAGACAAATAAAGCAGCGTTGGGATTTAAAAGAAGTTTGTTGATTCCAACTCATCCACCAGCAGACAGAGCACGTAATAAAAAGTGTGTGGGTTTTGATGTGTAAAGAATGGCTGATAAGTGGGTAACAACTCAATTTCCTTTAAACTGATTCCAGGCTGCCTTTTGGAGAGTGTCCTGTTTGGCCTAGATTTGTTTCACCCATAGCTCATGAATAAACATACTTTTCAAGGGCTGGTGGTCACTCAGCTATTGGAAATACTAACTCTCACTTTCCCAGAAGGGCACGTGTGTATTTGGGGAAGACAGATGCAGACTGTGTCATCTGCTGACTCGTGGTTTAATCTTTATTTTGCACTTCCAGCTGATAAGACCACTTTGTGCAAAAGTAATACAGGAAATGATGCACTGCAAAAACCAAGAGTGGCAGAAAGGGAAACGGAATGTACTGGCAAGGGCTCAGTGCTGCGGACGCACTCGCTGCTTCTTGGAAACGAAAAACTCCACCTACGCTGCCTTTTTTTTTTTTAAGCTTGATACTGGTATTGGAGCTTAGTGTGAGTAGTATACAGCAGTCTGTGGGTTTTCTCCGCCTTTACTTTATCTTGTGACTTGTTCAGGGCTTGGGGTGTGCTTAGACTTTGTTCGGGCAGGCAGGACTTTAGCAGGAGTCCCTGGGCTGGAGGCTGGTGTCCGGCTCGGTCCTGCTGAGCTGCATTACTTCCAAGCGTATCTACAAGGACTGTGCCTAATGCTGCTCCTCCCGATCCCAGCATATTTCCCACCGCAGTCGTTGCTACAGAGATGCCAGCTGTTAAGATAATACCTTTGATTGTGATGGTGAAATATGTTTTGGGGTGTGTCATTGTGGGAGTGGGACATGTGTGTTGAAGGATTTGATCCAAAAACTTTGGAAAACTTCCTCTGGTCTGACTACTGGGGGCTGCATCTGAATGTCATCTTAGTCTTTGCAGAGCTTGTGCAGTAGCTCATGTTAGGCTTGTATTTTCAGGCCCTAGTATAAACATACAGTCTTAATAGATGGGACTTTTTTTTCTTTTTCACAGCAAGTAGGTTGGCCATTTACTTTTAAAGTAGCTTGGTAGAAATGGTTCAGGCCTAGATAGAACCATGTCTGCATTCATTATCAATGTTGAAAGAAGTTTGGATCGAGATTTGTACTTTTTTTTTTTTTTTTATTAGAACTTCAACTCAAGTCTTTTAAATTTTTGTTTGTTTAATTTGAATGGATGTGAAGTAGAAAGTTTGACTTGGTTACATGGTGATATATCACTGGAACTTGTAACTTATGTGTGTGGAACTTATATCTTTTCTTTGAAAGAGACAGAAAAAAGATATTTAGGATATTGATTGAGATACTATATAGGAGTTGAGAGTAACTGTTAGTTATAAACACATCTGAAGCACATGCACTGGGATTCTGGTAATACAGTTCTTAAATTAGCACAGCATTTTAATAGAGCACTTTACAGTATATGTAAGGATAAAGTATATCTGGGGTATAATCGGTGACAGTAATGGAGTTTCAGTTCATTTAACTGTATAGGACATGTCCAGGTAACAAAATAAATTCTTAAATTTGCCCCAGGCTCGTGCAAATCTTCCATTGCATTGACATTATTATTTCAAATACAATTCTTAGCATAAAAGGAATAGGAAGTATCAGTACAAAGTGCAGGTAGACATGGTCTGTGTCTTAGTCCATAATCATTATTCACATAAAAGTAGTTTATGCATTCAACCTAATAAAAATGAACCTTTGCAATTAGATAATTGCTTTAGTGACAAATTAATTTGAATCAAGTGGATGGTTTTCAGCTTAAAGTATTTCAAATATAGTGGTACACTATGAAACCGTTACAATGCATGCTAGTCAAGAGGGTAAGTGTGGCATAGCATTTACAGTTTTAAGATCCGCAATCTTTTCTTAGTATAACTATGAAATTCTGTCTGACGTGGTGTGCTGACACCTTTTATTCTGTGTGTGTATAGGTTGCTAGTTGGTTGGGGTTTTTTGTGTTTTTCTGAAGGCAAGAAAAACATTCATATCCTTTTCCCCTTCTCCCTTCCTCTGCAACCTGTTGGTATCCAGTCCAGGATACGTTTCCTGTCTGTCTTCATGATCCGTTTGAAAGTCAGTGGTTTAGTGCTCTTGGTCTCATTCTCCCCTCCCTGCCAGTGCAGGGTCTCTCCTCTTCCTCCCGACAGAGCCTTTTGCCTGCTCCCAGCCCGGGCAAGTCCAAAACTTGCTGCTCACGGCAGGGGCTTCTTCCTATGTGGAGTTCCAGCCTGTCTTCATCCATCGCTTCATCCCCATTCCATGTCTCCCAAGTCAAGGACCCCCGTGCTGTTTGAAAACCTCTTATCAGGACTTCTTCCTCCTGCCCTCTCCTTCATGTGTCCTTGGGTACATCAGGCAGGCATTGCAACGGGCAGGGTCAGGATGTAATCGGTGAAGTAAGTTCGTGGTATCTTTCCCTCACAGTCTGCTTAGGAGCTGTGCGGGCTTTTTGGTGGGTGGTGAGACGGAGTTTTCTTTCTCATGTGAGATGAATGAGAAGAAGGATCTTTCTAGTGTCCTTTCTTCTTTTTTTGAGTTGTTCCTCAAAATAAGTTGGAGGTGAAGCTGAACTGTTTCCGTTTCAGATCATGATACGCACAAGTCTAGTGCAGTGATTTTTCTTTCTTTTTTTTTTTCCCCTTGTTTTGAGCTGCATCACTGACATTTTGGAGATGGCTGGGTAGCACAGTGCCGTTGGGGCATATTGCTTCCAGCTACTCTCTAAAATAAGTTTTAAAGAAGCACTAGTGATCTTGCACTGGTTCTGTGGGATGTTTTGCTGGTTAAGGTTGCAACAGCTGATGGGCAGAGGGGCGCACCCTTCGCACTTAACAGTGAAAGACGAAATCTGAGGGACTGACTTCGGCTAGATTTAATGTGAACTACATTTCTAATATAGGACCGTTACCCTTTTGTGGAATATGTGTGGGAATCCAGCCATGTCGTCTTGTGTTTTGGCTTTTTCTATCCAGGTCCTCACAGTACTAACTGAGCCCATGCAGAAGTATTGTTTGAAGCTGGCAAATGCCATTGCTGTCCCCCTTGCTGTGTGGCACAAAAATCACTGAGGCCACGCAGCAAATTGGATGAGGGAACTGAGCTGGGGGGGGGTAGTCCCACCACCTACCTCTACCCCTTGCCGTCTCCTCCTGCTAAATCCCCCTCCCCAACCTCTTTTAGTTTTCTTTATGCTGTGTCGTTATTTTCCAGGGTGATCACCCCATTTATTCAGGGCTGTTTTGGGGAAAGGGATATACAGCGTTCAGCAGCAGGCCCTGCTGCTTAAGTCTTCATCAGATGTGCCTTGAGTCCAGTTCTGGAGGCTGTCAAAACTTTGTGGGTTTTTTTTTGTTTGTTGGTTTTTTGGTTTTGGGTTTTTTTGGTTGATTTTTTTGATCACACTGCTCTTGCAGGTTTGGGGGGATGTTTTTAACTGCTGTATGGCAATTTAAAAAGTAAATCTTTTTTTTTTCCCCCCTCTCCCTGTGATATTCTGCTGCAGGTCCTTGGCTGGAAGGGTTTAGAATAATGAGGAGCTTATGTCTGTCAAGGGGGGATGTCAGCGCTGCTTTCCTGGGACTGGAGGACTGAAAAGGAGAAAGGACCAGAATTATTTGATACAGGCTGCTTTTGACTACTGACACGATCTGCTGTACGCCGGTGGTGGTGGAAGAACAGGACAAGGACAGTCTCTCCTGCTTGGTTCTGTGGTACTGCCACAGTGGGGTCACCATGAATGTGACAAGTTTATTCTCCTTCACCAGCCCAGCAGTGAAGAGGCTGTTGGGATGGAAGCAGGGGGATGAAGAAGAAAAATGGGCAGAGAAAGCTGTTGATGCATTAGTGAAAAAACTGAAGAAGAAAAAAGGTGCTATGGAGGAGCTGGAAAAAGCATTAAGCTGTCCTGGTCAGCCCAGCAACTGTGTCACAATTCCTCGTTCCTTGGATGGCAGGCTTCAGGTTTCGCACCGGAAAGGGCTACCACACGTAATTTACTGTAGAGTGTGGCGCTGGCCGGACCTGCAGAGCCATCACGAACTGAAACCACTGGAATGCTGTGAGTTTCCCTTTGGTTCAAAACAGAAGGAGGTTTGCATCAATCCCTACCACTACAAGCGGGTAGAGAGTCCTGGTAGGTTCTTTCTTGTTTGCACGTTTACACCTTATCTGAACAATGCAGAGTATGGCAATTAATCATGTGATTCATCAGCTTAAATAAGCAAAAGTGGCTGTTTGCACATGTCAGATGCTTCCTTTGCAATTTATGTGGATGTAAGCATTAATTAGCAGTTTTCCCTTTCACATGGTGAATGCTTCACTTGTGTAAATGTTTTGTCGCTATACAGAGGCACAGCCTTAGTATATGCCTCAAGCTGCTGGGCCTGGTATCACCTGGTTTTGTTGGTGACAACTGTCCCTCAATTAATTAGTTTTTCACTGAATTGTGCAGATCAGTGAATCTGTATGAAACATTGCAAGCTAATGTAAAGGATTATTGCAGTCTGTGCATGAAAACCATTCTGACATACTGTGATAGTGGTCTTATTATTTCCAAATTCTTATTTCACTTCTACTACTTTTTGCTTCTTAATCCTCCAGAAGATAATATTATCTTTAGGATCTTCCACAATCTTGGTCTTTTGAAAAGACTGTGATCTTAGCAGCAGAATATAATCATCTCCACTTAAAGCTTTGATAGCAATGTTTGGTTGCACATGAAGTTTTACTATCAGCTGTTCTGTAAGTGCAGTTTGCTTACCTGTTACCGACGCCCCCACTTCTTTTTCAAGGTCCAACCCATTCTCTCTGTCTTAAAGGCCAAAACTCTTTTTTGATAAACCTGTGCTTAATTTTACTTACGCAAGTTTATTGTCTGGTAATACTTCCAAGGACTAAGATGAAATGTGTCTTGGACGTATCTATGCTAGTCTTCGGCTACTTGTGAGGTTGTACAGGAACATCTGCAGAAATGCACTGCAGGTGTGGGTGGACTTCCCTGGTTTAAATTTGGAAAGTCCATCTGTGTTAGGCATAAACTGTGAAGCTGTCTTTGCAGAGTGGCATGGACACCTGAAGAACTACAGTGGAAATAAGATTGTTATAAGATTGTTTTTCTACGGATGGAAATTGCATTTGTCTTGGATCTGCAACACATATGCATATCTAGGTGTTAAATATTTCCCTTTGGTGTGTTAATACTAACTTGGAAATCATGTGAATGGCAGAGGTAATACCCAAAATGTATGTATTTATGTAGCAGAAGCTTGAACAAAGGAACTCTGTGCTGGAAAAACAGTTCTTAAAAAAAGTTAAAATTAAAAAAAAAACCCAAACATTAAAATTCTCAACAATTGCATGTTAAGCAGAAGCAGGAGAGTAAAATAGTTGTGTCTGTGCTGCTAGCTGTCTGCATATGTCTGTGCTAGTCGCTTGCATTCAGTATTCCAAAATACTGAGAATTAAGATTCCTGAAAGACATCTGTTTCCATCGGACTGAGCAACAGTTTGACTGTTACTGTAATGTCAGATGACATGTTCTAACTCATTTTACTTTAATCTTGGAAACAATTACTGAGTTTACATTCTCATTTGGACTATTTATACCGTATTTAAAAATAGCTATTTGTAAATGTCCTGTCACTTCCATGAGATATGAAAGATAAAAATAGAATAAAACTTTCAAAAGGTGTCTAACTAAAATGTACATTTTAGCTGAGTGCTGCTAAGTAGTTCAAGTGGTTGGAAAGCTGGAGTTTGGATGTTAAGTCATCTTAGGAATTTTGTATTTGGGGAACGGAGCAAAAAGTTATTAACTGTAAGCCTGAATTCTGGATTGCTTTTTAATTGTTTTTGGATGAGATATAAATATCTACATTCATGTAGCTGCAGAATTTTTGCCGGAAGAAAAAAATCCAAAACAGTAACTTAATCAATTTGGAGATGGTAGGAATAAAATGCTTCCCTTTTTGTTCAGAGAGTATCCTTCTTCACGAAAAACTAGATACTCTTGGTCAATTGCCTAATAGGCAACTGGGCAGTTGTCTTGTAAGCATGAGGGCTGTAGTCAGTTTGACAGAGCTGATAGAAAAATACTCAGTCTTTGACAAGCTTGAGGTGCTGCTCTCACCAGTTAAAATGTTCTGGAGCTAGCTGCTGACTGGGAGCTAGCGTTCACTTCTGCCACGGTGCTCTGTTAAATCCAGGTCTGGAGGTACAGTGTTATATGCGTGCTGAAGTTACCTCTTGAACTTGTGACAGCTTGCCAAAGTGCGGGAGCGGGGTTGAAGCCCACTGTGGTTTTACTGAGGTCTTTGGCTGGGCATATAAAGGAGGTGGGTTTTATATTTAGTCAGCCACGGATCTGCTGTTGTTTTGAGGGATATTGCATGGAGATGAGTGGGAAAATACAGCTTTTGGAAACAGGTGGTAGCTGAACTCCCATTTGGCTTGGAGAGCTGTGCTTTGTAACTTATGACTTCTTTTTTCCTGTGCCTTCCTTGTTCTTGCTGTCCTCCAAGCGTCATCTTTATCTTCATTTCCTGACAGTCACTCCCAAATTCTACTAACCGTTTTTTCCCATTTTTGCCAGGACATTAAAACACCATTATTGATGCATAAGTGCTTATGCTTTGAGATTAATGAGTAGTGGGAATTCATGCATGAGTCACTGTTTCCAACAGTTTACAGACTTGAGCAGATATCAAGGTTTGTGTTTCCAAGGAGCGCTGGAAATGTACTTTCTCCTGACAAAACAAAATTGGAAGCTCAGATTGTATATGATGTGTGTTCTGTGTGCAAGGTACATCATGAAATTCTGACTCTGCTTGACAGCGTGGTCTGCATTTAATTGCTTTGTGCAGATCCAGTTACTGAAGAGCTGAAGCGTATGGTGTGTACATGAGATGGCGTCTATACATTCACTCTTCTGCTGGTTGTCGTGTGATTTGTTTCAGTGTTGTGGAAGTTTTGAGGAACGGATTAGCAGTAAATCCTCAAATACGTAACATCAGGTAATGCTCTGTGTTGGGAAATCAGTGCTATGGATGCATCTCAGTTTTCACAGTGCCAGAGGGATGCGTGGATTTTCTACCTTGGTATCTTATTCCACCCTTGCTGTTTAACTGGAGAAGATAAGCTTGGAAAATGGGACAATTGTCATGCTGTGGTGTGTCTGCCGCTACAAAGCTCCATCTGAATCCAAACAACAGATTTTTCTGTTAGCCAGGCTAGATAGGAACTGGTTGTAAAGCGTCAAGACGAGGCAGAAGACTATCAGTAGTCTCAAGCAGGGATCCTCCCAGGTGTCCCTGAGCACCGGCTCTCCTGCTGCCCCTGCGCAAGGAGGGGAACGTGGCATCGGCAGGCATGTGCGTGTGATGTGGTGGTACCATATTGGTGCCTAGAAGCTCCAATGCACGGATTGCCTGTCTGATTCTGTGGTGAGTCGATGGAGAAAACTGAACGGACAGAAACCTACTTTTTGGCACGGTTAGCTTGGCAAGCTCGGTGCCCTCAGCTTGCTCGCTGCGGAGTCAGATGGGGCAAGGCAGTGTGAGGGCACGGGGTGGAGGCGAGGAAGGGTGGCCTTCCTGTGATGGTGTGACATTTGGCCAGCCCGTTATCAGCAAGCTGCTCCCCAGGTGATGGAGACCCGATCCGTGGCGGGGTGCATAAACAGCTCCTGCTCGCTGTGTTGTGCCAGCACAGCTGTTTGCGTGGCCTTGTGCCGAACCAGATCGCAGTCACTTTTTCCCTCCCATGCTGTGTTGTCTTCCAGGCTGATCAGAGCAGTGCCGGGGCTCGCCGTGTGGCTGCGGGAACATCTGTACCAACACAGCCCTGCGGATGACATGTGGGAAGGAGTGGAGGTGATGGGAAATAAGAGGAGAAAGTAGAGGCTGTTTCGTTGCTGGGGATGGGAATACAACTTTCTGCTTGACTGCCAGGAAGAAATATCTCCTCGAGATGTGTTACAGTAGCTCACTGCTGCTGCTTGGTACGTCTGTTGTGTGCAGAATTATTTCTGGTGCAGGGTAGTTAATGGCTGTCAAATTTCTCTCTTGGCAAGGCGAAGCAAAGCTTTTAATTAAGCAGGGCAGGGTCTGAATTTGCCTCTTTAAAACTGGCATGCTCAGCTGAATTGGTGTGCTTACTTGGCTGAATCTGCTTTTTCTTCTCAGTTTTATTATTTGGTTTAGAGATATCTGGAAATCAGGCTTATGCCTGGTTTGGGATTATCCTTAAGTATGATCGAGTTTTGAGAAGTAATTAGGTGTAGAGCATAGATAGAGGCTGTCAGGAAAAGGTGAACACAATGTTCCTCATCTCTCTGAAAATGCTAGAAATGACCTCTCAGGTTTTGCTAGATAATGTGTGAAATGACATTTGGAAGTCCCTTGTGAGATACTTCCTTCCCTTCTTTTATTCCTTTGGTTTATGTGGAGGTACAGCCTCTCAGGCTTGCTTCTGTCCTCAGTTATGTCAATGGGATCAGGTGAAAGATGTCAATCCAGAATTTAGGGGAAAAAAATCTCTTTTTTTAAGCCTGGATCCTGTTTGCTCTAACAGCAAAAGAAATGGGATAGGGAGCAGGGAGGATGAAGAGGTACTTAAATTGATGCTGCTATTAAAAAAACCCAAACAACCCACACCTCTAACGTGGCTCTAGGGGAGGAGGTTCAGTTCTTTTGCCTTAGCTAAGGGGGAAGGAAGGAAGATGAAGAAACTGAATCTTCCATTTTCTTAAAGTGCTAGTGAACAGTAGCTCTTGGTTCCATCTATATGCAGAATTGTGTTAGTTTACCTATACTAAGCATCCTTGCTCATCAGCCTGCTAGATTAAAGAGGATTTGAGTTTATATGTTACAAGGGAAGCAAAAGAGGAGTTAAACTTGTCTCTTATGCTTCATGTGTGGAAGCGTTTGAAGGTGCAGAGTGTTTATGTAAATAGCTACCCCCTGCCCCACAACTGGATGCTATCTCCTGAGAGTGTCCAGAATCTGGTGATACCTTCTCAGGGGTCAGGCTTGGGAGAAACCCACTCTTCATTGATCTGAGTAAGCTTAAACCTGCCTTGGGAAATGCAGTTGTTAACTTTTCGATACTCGTTTCTGGAGGTGCTTACTGATGCTC